TAGCAAGTTTCCTTGTCAACTACAATAGTCGATTTCAGAACTCTTAGGGAGTAGAGTAATTGAATTACCCACACAGTTCTGCTTGCTATGCAAAGGCTTGTTTTAAACAAGCCAGGAAACCTACTAGTGACTCTCTAGATGTCAAAAGTAGTAGCAAAACCCATCAGCCTTCAAGACTTAGTTGGGAGAGATGTTTGTTAAAGGGGCAGAAAGCAGGGAAATGCTAGTGCTTTTTTCTTTTTATATTTTTTTTTTCTTCTTCTGCCTTTCAGACTCTAGCATTACAGCCCGTGCTCATTCCCAGGAGCTTTAAAAGGGTGGTGGACCACTTTGAAGTTTTTCAGTAAAATAGAACCTCACCAACAATGGTACTTAGCACTTGATAAAAGATTAGCCATCACAAAAAATTGATTACTGGTTCGCTTGCTTACTTGTTACTGGCCTCCCTTCATAGGAGTAGATGCACTGTGGTGCTAGGTATTTTCTGTTCATTATGTGTCCCTGTTGCCCAGACAGTTAGTGCTAGACTGGCTTTTCAAGGAAAGAATGAGGAATCCATTCGGCCTCGTGGAAATTAGCCATGTTTCATAAGGAGAGCATTCTTCCTTGCCAATTTCACTGTGCTCTCTCAGCTTGGGAGAGTCTGGAAGACCGAGAATTCATTCTAATCACTTCTACTCTGACTTCTCTTGTGGCATTTCTCACTAAATCACTGAAATGAGGGGGAGTAAAAGTCATTCAACTTCTCTTGGGTGTTATTCAATAGATTATAACAGAAAGAGGCAAAGATCAGATACAATATTAAGTTTGAAAAACATTAATACACTCATTACTTAGATCATTAAGAAACATGAGAGACCCAGCAATGTTTCATGTTGTCATCAATGTAGTAATGCAACAGTGACCCTACTCACACTTTTAATACTGCATATGTTTTGCTGTTTTTTTTTTTTTTTTTTTTTTTTTTTTTTTTGCTTCTTTAACAATAAAATCTGTATTCCTTTGGAGCTTCATGTGGATTCAATTGTGGGTAATGATCATTTTGGTTCTTGCCAGTAGTCTTGGAAGATGTCAACCAGAAACACATCTCAATCCAGTCCCCATCATTTTCTCTTGCACTTGTGTCTCCTACTTGTGAGGACTAAGGAATACCCTGCTAATTCCCTTTCTCTCATTCCCTCAGAAAAGAGGAAGTGTCCTCTGAGTGTCCTGTGACACCAGCATTACCATCTCTTAAAACAGGAGGGAGGCATTGCCCTCTGGGTTAACCATTTCCTAATATGTTCCTCGAATACTTGTATAATAAAATACACCAGGTATTTGAACCCCTGGATATCATGAAGATCCAATTGTTCATAGTCTATCACAGAATAACAGTATTAAAGAAAACCAATATTTAAATTCAAAATTTTGTTTTATGATTTTAGATTTCTGTTGGATTGGGCAACGTGGTTTTTTTTATGTAACAAAATAAAATGTAAAGATGGAACAAACACTATCACATTGAAGTTAAAGAAGACAAGCAAAAGAAGGAAAAGAGAGCAAGAGACAGCACATGAATCAGAGATCCACTTGTTGGGACACTTGGGAATCCCACAAAGATGATCAGCTGGAAGCCAAATACAGAGGCCCTTGTACTGCATGCAGGCCCTGTGGTTGGGTATCACAATGATTGTGGCCTCATGAGATGTGGTGGGAAAAGTTCCTTCTGTACTGGTATGGTAGGATGCAGAGAGTTATTTCAAATTTCTTGTGTCTCTTGAGACTTGCTTTCTATTTGAGTATGTAGTCAGTTTTATAGAAAGTATTATGAAGTGTAGAGAAAAGGTACATTCTCATGTTTTTGGGTAAAATGTGCTGTAATATCTGTTCGGTTCACTTGGTTTATCACATCAGTTACTACGAACATTTTTCTTTTTAATTTTGGCCTGCATGACCATCTTTTGGTGAGAGTGGGATATTTACATCACATGGTGACTTAAGCATTAGCAGTGTGTCTTTTATGAAATTTGGTTCCCTTGTGTTTGCAACATAGATGTTAAGAATTACAAAGTTCTCTTGGTGGAATTTTCCTTTGATGCCTATGTAGTGTCCTTCCATATCTCTTCTGATTAGATTGAAGTTTATTTTGTCAGATATTAAAATGGGTACATCAGCTTGCTTCTTTAAGTCAATTTGCTTGCGGTATCTTTTTCCATCTTTCTATGCTGAGTCTATCCCAGAAGTTGAGGTGTGTTTCTTATATGTTTCCACTTGTATGAAGTGAAAGGATAGACACTGTTTTTGCATACATTTTCTTTGTTAGAATGTTTCTTTTGTCTTCTTATTTGAGAGTGTTTATGTTGAGATACATTGATGACCAAAGATTAATTCCTGTTATTTTGTGTGCATGTGCATGCATAAGTATGTTTTCCTTCTTTTGACTTGGTTTGTCTGGATTTATTCATTTCCTATTGGAATTTTCCTTCTAGCACTTTCTGTGAGGCTGCATTTGTAGATAGATATTGCTTAATTTTAGTTTTATCGTGGGATGTCTTATTATGGTGATTGAAAGTTTGTTGGTAGTCTCACTGGCATCTGTGGTCTCTTTGAGTCTGTAGAACATCTGTCCAGGCCCTCTGACTTTTATAGCCTCCAGTGAGAAGTCAGGTGTTAAACTAATAGGTTTGCTTTTATATGTTACTTGGTCTTTTTCCCTTGTAGCCTTTTAATATTCTTCTTGTTCTGTATAATTAGTACTTGAATTATTATGTGCTGAGAAGAAGTTATTTTCAGGACTTATCTATTGGTGTTCTGTAAGCTTCTTATATCTTGATAGGCATCTTCTTATTTGAGTTAGGAAATTTTTCTTCTATAACTTCGTTGAAAATATTTTCTAGGCCTTTGAAGAAACTTGGGAGTTTCTTCTTCTTCTATTTCTATTATTCTTAAGTTTGGTCTTATCATAGTATCTCAGTCATATTTCCTGCATATTTTGTGCCAGGAATTTTCTTTCTTTTCTTTTTCCTTTTTTTACGTTTAACATTTTCTTTAACTGAAGTATCTTCTCTTCCATCTCCTATATTCTGTTGGTGAAGTTTGTCTCTGTGGTTCCTGTTAAATTTTTCATCTCTAACATGCTTCAGTTTGGATTTTCTTTATTGATCATATTTTCACTTTCAGGTTTTGAAGTGTTTTATTCATTTCTTCCATGCTTTGTATTTCCATAGATTTCTCTAAAGGGTTTATTCATTTCCTCCTTAAGGACTGCTGTCATCTTCACAAAGGCTGTTTTAAGCCCTTTTTCTTGTGCTTCTACTGTGTTGGAATATCCAGGGCCCACCATGGTGGGGTTGTTGGGCTCCAGTAGAGACATATTGTTCTGGCTGCTTGATTTCATTTTTATGCTGACATCTAGGCCTCTGGGATTAGGAAGATTGGAATTCTAGATGCTAATGTCTGCTCTTGTCCATGTTGGGTGGGTGTTTTGTTCCTTGGTTTTTATTTCCTCTCTGATTCTGAGGAGAGGGTGGTGGGTAGGTGTTGGCCTGGTAGGAAATTATTCTGTGATCCTGATAGATATGGACACTCTGGGTCCTGGGAGCCAACACTTAGAACAGGGATGTGTCTTGAGATATGGCTGGGGATGTGGCTGAGGGGGTTCACAGGGAAGAAGAAATCTGCCTAGTTAGTCCCCTGGGAATGAGGGCAGAGGATGAGGAGAGACCACAGCAGAAGGTCTGTTTTAGAGCTAGGGATGAAACTGAGGGACTGGACATTGAGGAATGGAGGAAGTTAAAAGATCTGCAGACTGCTTGCTTCCCTGCTCATAATGGCCTGAGTTAGCTAGGAGTGCCTGCTGGAGCTGGGAGCTGGGATAAAGCATTGAGGGAGAAGGGAAGATCTTTGGGATCCCCAGGAGATGGGTGTACGGGGAGGGAGACTGCAGCAGGTCTTGTGTTGTAGAGCTGGCTATGAGACTGGAGGGGTTGGTAAATGAAGCAAAGAACAATCAAGGTAGGCACTGATGTCAACCTGCCTTACAGTTCCACATGGGCACATATGTACCAACATACACACAAACATATACATACACACACACACACACACACACACACACAAACATACAATACAACATACACACACAAACACTCACATTTACACACAAATACACACACACACAAACATACACAAATATACACACACAAGCACACACATACACAAACATACACATGCATGCATGCATGCACACACACAAAAACACACACAATCTTACACACACATGTACATACCAAACACATGAAGAAGAAAAAGAAAAGTATTAATATATTCATTTAAACACAACCATTTCATTATATTTTGCAGAGCTGCAATTACTTATTTTAACTAAATTTTACTAGAGTACTCCTTTTAGACATAAATGCAAATGATCAAATGCAATTCTGAGACAGTTAGTCTTATCCCAAGCTGGCCTTAATCTCAGGATCCTTCTGATTTAGCTCCCAATGTTTCAATTATGTGTATGTGGCCGTCAATACTGGGTCAAATGTTGGTTTGCTGTTGCTAAATAATAGAAGCCCTTCATCACAGATGTTTTTTTAAAGATTACTATGTACACAGTCTTCTGCCTAAATGTATGCCTGCATGCCAGAAGAGGGCACCAGATCTCATTATAGGTGGTTGTGAGCCAATATGTGGTTGATGGAAATTGAACTCCTGACTTCGGGAAGAGCAGCCAGTGCTCTTAACCTCTGAGCCGTCTCTCCAGCCCCACATTGTTGATACAACTTAATGAATTTTTCAAAATGACTAGATGAACGTTTTTTTTCCTTCTAATTAGCTTAAACCTGTTTAAATTGTTTTAAAATGTTAGAGGGAAGTTTTCTAACTTCTCGATAGATCAGGTTCTAATTTAAGGCCAAATGTAACTCTGGTGCTAAAAACAGAAGGACATGATGGAGATAAGCCTGCAGCTGTCCCTTGAGTCGGTACTCACAGTGCGTGGTATTCTTCTTATATAGGTTGAAGAAAAAATCCCAGTCTGTGGATATCACTGCTCCAGGGTTCAACCCTCTGGGAGGTACAGGGAAGCAAGTACCACAAACCAGCAGGGCCCCTGCACCCAAGACTCCCATCATCGAAGAGGAACAGAACAATTCAGCCAATGCCCAGAAGCACCCTCCCAAGAAGACTGAGCTGAAGAGGTTCTACACCATCGGTGAGTGCCGAGTTTTCTGTATATGAACGAGTGCCACTTGGACAGCTTTATAGGTTCTGCATAGTTAAATGATGACTTGGTGCATAATTGTGTGTCTTTCTGATGGCTTGTGTGGGATATGGAAGATGGAAAACTACTAAAACCTTTAGCAAGTTAGGTAAGGAAATGGGCTCAGTGGCCATCTATATCCGAACTCAAGAAAAATCGTTATTTTATTTCAGCTTTTTACCTTATGTGTTGCTATTTTCATTTTAGCCATCCTCATCCCACACTGTTCTTGCAGTTTGCTTTTGTTCGTTTCATTTCCCTTTGGACTTCTAAGTCTCTGACCTGGTTCTGTCAGGTTGTAAATTCAGTGGCTGAAGTCAGCCTATAGCTTAGCCATTATGAAGGGAGAAAGTTACTGTGTTCTGGGGAATAACAAGTTATATTGGAGGACTGTTTGGACTTCTCACATTGCAAACTTTGGAGGGATGGAGTTCAAGAGTAATCATATCAGAAAGTAGTAGGCTGTGAACATGGGTCTTACTGGTATTATGCTCCTATGTCCCCAGACACAACAGTATTCAGTAATTTTGAACTTTACTGGAGAGTGTCACATAGCGGGACTAAGTTGAGCTGAAAACTTTTGTATACCTGTATTTCCAGCAGGTATACAAAACAAATGATTTTTCAACAATAACCATTGTCAGCATTTCAGGTATACTTGACACAAAGTTTTGTACCTGCGTCATGGCAGGAGATGAAAAGTTGGGGAGATAAGCAGGAAGTGTGTACATGCTTGTGCATGTGTGTATTGAATCGAATTTTTCATATATACATGCTTGTGCACGGGTGTATTGGGTGCACTTACTGCAGGGTCTTTGCCCAATCATGGAAAGCTGAACTGGGTCTGAGGAAAGGTAAGGGGCCACTCCCCCATTCCCCAGCCTCCCAGAATTCTCGAGGCAATCAGACGCAGCAGGGAGTCTAGTCAAGCAGGAACTCATTTATTGTCCCATAGCAGGCATCTTTTAAAGCAAAGAACCATGGAGTGGGAAAACAACCAGCCAATGGTTGTAAAGGGCAATTTATCACGTGCCTAGGCACCTTATGCTTTACCTAGTGCTGTTCATGCAGTGACCTCCTCTGGTTCGATCTAAGCAACCACTCATCTTTTTTTGTAAACAACTCAGGATTCACCCATCTGACTTCCCCTCAGTGCCATCTTTGCCTGGCTCCTGTGTTCTTCACTTACCTGTGTGTGTACATGCTTGGGCATGTGTGAATTGGTTGCACTTACCTGTGTGTGTACATGGGAATCTAGAAGTCAAGTATGTTCCTTTATTGCTCACTTTTTGAAACGGGGTCTCAGCAAGACTGGCGGTGAGCATTTCCCTAGGAACTGCTTGTCCCGACCATACTAAGCACTGCTCTTACAGTCCTATGCAGCCACACCTGGTTTTGTGTAGGTCCTGGGGATCTGAACTCTCACACTTGTACTGCAGGTATGTCTCAAAGCAATTTTTAAATAAATGAATTTGCAGCAGTTTGATTTCTTATCAATATTAATGGCATGTACTACCTGCATTAAAGGGTTAGTTTGAACCTCAAATTTATCGTGTCTGTAGAACCTCTTCTAATCTGACCCTCAATTTTTTTTAATGCTGAAATTTTTACTTTTAATGCTGAAATATATCAACTATATAACTGAAAGTTCTTGTCATAAAACAAATGCTTCAATATCCCTGGTTAAAAAAAATACTGTTAATACAAAACAACAATATTTTAAAATTCCATGTGTACAATGAGTCTCTCAAGGAATACAAGGGAATGCACAAATATATTTATAGGGGATTTATTAGAGTGGCTTGTAGGCTATGGTCCAGCTAGTCAAACAGTGGCTGTCTTACTGACAGAAAGTCCAGGAATCCAGAAGTTGTTCAGTCTGCAAGACTGGGTATCTCAGCTGGTCTTCAGTATATTCCAGAATCCCAAGAAGTGGGTTCTAATGACAGGGAAGAAATGAACTTGCCAGCATGAGTGAGGACAAGCAGGCAAATAGCAAATTTCTTTCTTCCATGCTCTTTGTATAGGCTGCCACCAAAAGGTGTGGCCCAGATTTAAAGTAGATCTCTCCACCTCAAATCAGGATTTCAGATGGGGTGGGTCTTCCTATCTCTATAGATTCAACCAGGAAAAATCCCTTACAGGTGTACCCGGCCACTTGCATTTTAGTTCATTCTAGATGTAGTCTGGTTGACAACCATGAATAGCTATCATACCATGTATTAATAATTTCACATTGCAAGATATATTAAGCCCTATAGTCTATCTCACATGATCCTCAGGAGAACTCTGCTATATTCTGTCTTAAGAGAGGAGGAATAAATAATGTCCAAAGGAACTAAAGGAAGGAACCATGAGCCATAGATTACAGACTGCAAACAAAATTCACTTAATATTTTAGCCCTTAAGAGTCAAATTTGTCACTGTGAAAGGTGTCTTGTCAGGGTCTCAATTCAGGGTTTGCGCAATTAAAAAAACAAAACAAAACAAAACAAAAACAGGGATCCCTCTGGTGGCAGAGTGCAGTACTACAACTAAATTGCATTCCAGAATGTTACAGTCAATGTATTAAAGTCAAACTAGACTCCTCAACAAGTAAAAGACATTCGTTCAAAGTAACATTGAATCAAAAATTGGTATCATGTAAGTTCATGTCAATGGAGTAACTAGTCTTTGAATAGATATAATTAACTTTCACTCATTTAAAATAAGTAGGGGGAGTGCTACCCTCTGTCTATATGCAACATCTAAATCTTCATTTGGACCTTTTGAAAATAAGAAGTCATTATCTCAGTACTGTGCCTCAGGTAAGAGCTTCTTCTATCAGCCTTTGTCACCAAGGGAAATTCTGAACCTGTGAATTGACGTTTTCTTCTGATAGCAACAGAAGGAGGGTCTCTGCATTTTTAGCTTGGGGTTTAGGAGTTCAAGTCCATGTGGCACAGCTGGAGTTTTGTTCAGCATATCACAAGGCTGAAATAAGCATGTTGACCAGGCTGAGGGCTCGCATGGTTTTGACCAGAGAAAGAGGTGCCTTTAAGAGCCTTCCTTCCCACTGGTGGGATTCCAATCCATTCAGCTGTGGGCCCACTTTCCTTGCTGGGTGTCAGTCAGGATGCACTCTTGGATCTGAGATGCCACTTTCCTCCTTTGCCTTGTAAACCTCCCTGTCCCTCAGCTAGTCATTCAGCAGCATCTGATTCTCTGGAACTCCTGATTTCCTCTTACATGGTCAACCCAGAACATTCTCTGTTCTTAAAGAACAGTAGGGAGGAGATTCAAGATGTTAGATGGGGAGAGCAGAATGCCGGCCCCTCTCTCTGGTAATAGGAGACCACGTGGAAATACTTAGATTAATAGAAATGGATTAATATTTAAGACAGAGCCAGCAGATTAAAAAAAAAAAACTAGTAACAGGCATTATATCTTTAAAAAAAAAAAAAAAAAAAAGGAACACATGAAATCAGTCAAGTCTACCAATGTTCCTGCCCACATATGTCACTAGAAAGGGACTAAGTCATTTCAGTCACCATGCAGAACCCATGCAGGTGGTATGGAGGTGGGGGATGGTCAGGGACTTGGAGACCCACCTTAGAATCCTGTCTGACAAATGTACTCACCTCGAGTGTATACACACTAAAATACCAGCACAGTTCAAGCAAAATTCCCTGAAAACACTTCCTTTGATGTCCCTTTTGATGTTTTTATTCCATTCCATTTAGTTTTTTAAGTATAATACCAACTCATTAAATTGATTTCATAATCTGTTAATGACTTATTTGTGTCCCAACGTTTGGAAAAACAATCACTGGGCTGCTAAGAGAAACTTCAATGACTAAAACTATTATTTTTGAAAAAAAAATAGAATTGTTAATTAGAACTAGAATTATAAGAAAAGCATTTAGTGGATTAGCTTTGATGGATAAATATGTGAAAAAAGAGAAGAATTTTTTTCCTGTTTCAAGTTATTATTATGAAATCTCAGCTTATAGATTAGGCTTGTCCCACTAGCTCTAATAACTTAAATGAACCCATTTCTATTCATCTACATGTTGCCATGCAACTCGTGGCTTTTACCTCTCCTCCATGGCTCCCTCTCTCTCTCTCTGTATCTGGCTAACAACTCCATCTTTGCAGAGCTCTCTTTGTCCAGAAGTCCCAGATATACCTCCTGCCTAGCTCTTGACTGTTTAGCTTTTTATTAAACCAGTCATAATGACACATCTTCACACAGTGTTAGGGAATAGTCCACAATATAGCAAAGGTTAACGGAGTATACTTAACACATCCATCCTTTGAAACCATACCCTCTACTTATGGAATATGAAACAAACTGTAAGCTCAGTTGTAATTCCCCATTTATCCCTCAATTCAATTATATGTACAGACTTCTGACATTTTTACAGATTTGTCATAAAGGCAGTGAAGAAAGCCATGCATATCAAATCCAAAATGAATCATCATTCCCTTTAGGGCTCAGATAACTCTGTGATGTATGTTCCTTGGAGATGGAGAGCCAGAAACTCATACATCATTAGCAGCTTCTGTGGACTTTGCTTAAAAGGGCTAGTATGTTTTCCACCCTTGGAGTTTTTGCTTCACAGTTAGGAATGGGGACAACTCTTGCTTGGATGGATATGTCTCCTACCAGTTAGTCAGTGAGGACAACATTGACAGTCCCAATCGGTACGTGCCCAGTGGAAGCTGCATCCAAGAGACACGCTTCTCAGAATGGAGCATAAACAGGAACCAGCCCTGCTTTCTCCTGTATCATCATGGTCATCTGTGGATGTGGGAAAAAAGTAGCTGGTCTCAGTGCACAGTGGGGAGTAGAGAATCTCTTCAAGGTCTTGCTGAGGAAGAAACTAGTAAGTGGGCAGAAGTGAACAGAGGACACAGGCTTAACGAACTCTGGAAGCATCAGGAAGTTAAAGGACAAGGATTCCTGCCTC